GGGGGGTTGCTCTAAGTTACTCCTGTGAGACGGTGTGTCTCTGCCAGCTCCGTGAGGATGAATGCATGTAGGAGTGAGCACAAGCCAGGGAAGGGACCTGCCCTGTGGTCAGAATAAAGACCCATGATACTGAACACAGTTCCCAACCCAGCCACGATGAGCCACGCTTCGCCCCACAGAAGAAAGGAAAACAGGAGAGACACTGAAGTGGATCTTCTAGAAGGTCTTTGTTGCAAGTTTCTCCATCAAAAAAAAAAAAAAGTTACATCATCAAATAAAGACATAGCAGCACAGCGTATTGAAATGTTACACGCAAATTTGCTTTTGTACTTTTCCTAAGAACATTACGAAATAACCCCCCACACACACTTTATTTTCTGTAAAATGCCATTTTTTTTAAAAGCACCATGAAATCCTACAGAGAGAAAAACAGGTAAAACACCTCTACACATGGATTTATCGTCGTCGTCATGGGTCCCCTGCCTGTGATCTGGGAAGGGAACGAGGCCAAGGCTGGCAGGTGGGGTGGTTTGCATATCGCTTCTAGGCACCATGGCAGCTTCTCCCTTCAAACCCAGAGTTCTGGTGGCAAAGGAGACATTCTGCAGGTATCCTCTGCAGCCCAGGTCTGCTGGGTCAATGGACAGGGAGTCCTCGCAAAGACTTTTTAAACAATGCCCAGGGAACTAGGTTGAGACTTTTCACCTAAGAATCAAGAACACAAGTAGATTCCACATCTCAGGCACCTGTGAAAATGATCATCACTTTCAGTAAAATCAGAGACACCTCTTACCACTTTTCCTCAATGCTACCATACTGATGTCATGTGACTTACAGACTGCCCTGGGAGAAATAAGGGTTAAATGGAGTAGGGGCGGGTTGGTGACCTCCAATGCAGCTATTGCCTGAGAGTGTGGTGCTTTATTTACAGCCAGGTCGCTAGCATGCTATTCCCAGGTTTCCACTGCAGAATTAACAGCATTCACAATGCCAAACTAAAGTGATCTTTGTTTTAGAGAGTTACCATTTTTCTTATTTAAGGCCATCGCTAATTAGTTCTTGTGCCATATCACCAAAAGCTCCCTCTGCTCACTCAGCCCCTCTCCTTGTACATGATTATATCACAAAGTAAGAATGAATGCTCTCCCACCTCCACACACACACACTTGAAATATTAGCAGACTTCAAAAGCAGAGAGACTGCAATACTGGCTTATTTTCATTTTCTTATTTTAGAGAGCCTCTGCATGTTTGTTTGTTTGTCTGTGTCTTTCCTATGGTTTGGAAACCATGGTACACACTGGATGGTGCATATTCTTACCCAAGTCAGTGAGTAAAAATCTGCCCCACCCAAGCTCTGACCACATTCTCATTCATCCCCCAAACCAAACGTACAAACAGATACACAGCATCAACCCAGCCAGGAAATGATATCATCTCAGAGGGAGGCAAGGGGGTGGTTTGCTAAATGTTTAACACAGCTAGGATTTTCAACATGGAAGTGTCTCCATGGAAACCAAAGTAGCCATTTCCTCTGTGTGTGTGTGTGTGTGTGTGTGTGTGTGTGTGTGTGTGAGTGAGAGATGTCTATAATAGTACATGAATTTATGACGTAATCAAAAATAACTTTTAGTACAATTGACCACAAATAGTAACAAGTTAAAATTCTTTAACTAGTCAACACCATGCAAAAGATGCCCACATAGTTCAAGTCCTTCTGGTGACTGAATGCTAAAGAGGTCTAAGGGAGGACAAAGAGAGCCTACCCCCAGGATATGATCTTAATTTGGATACTAATCTCCCAGGGACATCTGGTCTCCACCAATCACTCAAAACACAAATCACAAAGGGCAGCAAACTAAACTCTCATCTTAACCGTTAATGGAACCATTAGTTAGTATTCACAAATGCAACTTAGGACTTTCTTATAAATTAACTTATGGACCAAATAATGTTTTATCAGGGAGCAAAACTAAGAGAGTCCTTGAAGACTACCTGTGTAGATGAGTTAACTGAAATCTAGGCAAGGAAAGGATGTGTCCACAATCACAGGCTACCCCTGGTGAAGCATACACAAGTAGTCCCCGCTGTCTTCGTGGTAGGTCAGGGATATTCTATCCACTCACAAACACGACACAGATCTTCCCCAAAAATGATACATTGCCAGAACTGCTGCTGGATTAGGACTGGGTATTAAACTGTAGTCTCTCCAAAGTATCCCCAGGATCCACCAGTATACCTCCACATATGTTATGGGGGAAAAATTCATTACCCAGTTAGTTTCCAGGTGAAGCAAAAGGCACTGTCCACTGAAGATATTGAACATGTGCTCTTTCCACATGCAATGTCAAAACATCTGCTCCAGGATTATGGTATGGCGGGAATGCGGACAAGAAGGGGAGAGCTATGAGGCTGTGTGTACAAAGGACATCAGCAGCTTTGCTTCCTCATGTGTATTCTACATGCTATTTTGCCCCATCTAAAGAAGCAGACCTTCAAGTAACTTGAAACCAACTGACTTTTCCCCAGATCTTAGCTTGTACACATGAAGAATCTAATCACTTATCCCCTTTCAGTTTCTCTTTTGAAGAACTTTGGAAAGTTCTTTACAGTTTTCTAAACACTTTGCACACATATCTCATGAATCAATCTCCGTAGAAGGTCTTTGAGTTTGTTGTTCAGGTCCTGGCCCCAATGTACTAAGGAAACAGGATGTATTAAAAATTTCCACTCCTAGTTATATTCAGTCCTTCCTTATTATGGTGATTTGACTCACTTGGGGAACCAATTTTGCACACCAACATGTGCAACTGTTCCATTTGGTAGAAAATACAGCTTAGGGCTTTGAAGTGTTTTATTCTTGTTGTCTGCAGAACTTCTGCAAGGTAAGCAATAAAGTGCAAAAGAGTGCTTTCAAACAGTATTTTTAACAATACACAATACAGAATGCCATATACAGCCTTGCAAAAAAAAAAACATGTGCAGAAAGTATCTGCAAGAACCACCAGTTAGGCTATGTTTATGAAAAGACCTATACTCTCTTAGTCTTAAAGATGCCTCAATATCTTTTCCCCAATTCTGTAAGCTGTGTTTATGAAGCTTGAAACACACACATGCACACACACACGCACATACATTCACAAGGATGCATGACACAGACACGGTAGCAAAGTTGAAAGCAGACTTTGGTCAGACTTTGAATACCACCTCCACCACCCTCTTGCTATGTGCTGTTGGGTAAGTTACTTGGCTTCCCTGGGGCTCCATGTCCTTATCTATATGTAACAGTTTGGAAATACTTCCCACATAGTGTTGTGAGGTTTCAGTGAGCTGACATCCAGAAAGTGCCTGATCCAGTTCCTGGCCCATAGAAGGCACTGGATAAATGACAGAGACACCTTTTTGCTAGATTCAACTGCAGGGCCTAGGAATTTAACATGTAACTATGAGGAAGGTACCAAGATAATACAGGATGGAAACTCAAATGAGATCACTGACAGCTTGTTTAACCAGGAAATTTGTCTGAATAAGAAAGAGGATCCTAGTGACCTACTGATTCCTTAAAACACATTGCATTAAGCTCAAACGATTCTCATAGTAAGAGCCAACACCCACATGTGCATGGACATTTCCCAATTGTCCATTAATTGCTGTGTGGATACAAAACTGTCCCCAGTGAGCCACCGTTCTAGCTCATACATGGCATTAACCCAAATCAACCTTGGACAGGAAGAACTTCATCAAAGTTGATTCTTTCTTGACTCCTTCTCAAAAGCAATGACAGAACATTAGCTGAGCCTTAAGGTTTGAAGTCAGGGAGGGGGGCAGCAGGTGCTCCAGGCAGCGGAGAGCTGTCCATTTTTGGAAAATGGACAAGGACAAGTCTTCTATGGGACCAATGATCAAGGATACAACAGCTATAATTTTTTTCTTGGGAGTCAGAAAGCACTAGATGGTTTCTAGAAGTCTCCACTAGTGCTTCAAGTTTTTGGTAAATCCTCTCTGTAGATTAGTTGTGGGATATCACCTAGAGGTGGCACAGAGCCTGCAAGGCCCATAACCAGCAACCTCCTGGTGTTGCCAAGTCCAAATGCCTAAGTAAGGGACTCAAATAGCTAATTTTGAACCAGTGCTATTATCAATTATTATAAAGACTGAGGCACACCCAGGATACTAGCCTATTATCTATTTTTCCCTTTCTGATAAAAAGCCATTTTAAATTATCCTCTCAAAACCTGTAACTAGCCATTCCCTCACTTTGTTTCAATGAACATTCTAATCTCATGGAACAATCATAACCGTCACGTGTCGGCTATTGTTTGCCTGGAAACAATCACAGGGATGTCCCAGTTTGGGTGAATAGCAGGTGTGAGATCAAGGAACCAGCAAGGAAAGAAGTGATGCTTCTAGGATAAAGGGACACCTACACATTAAAATAAAATGAAATATTTTAAATACTTCTTTTAAGTATTATTTTTTAAACGGCATAATGGCACTTAAGCTGCAAGCAATTAAAACATTTCAATCTTACTGTACAAGGATTGGTTGGGGGATTTATTTTTTTCTTTTGTCTGGAGAGAGCAAGATTGAGTCTCGTAACTATGTCTACCCTAAGACACCCAAAGGGACAAAAAGCCCTGAGATGGAAAGATGCCATGGTCCTCCTTGGTATGTCTCAGAAATGCAGGATGTCTATGTTTATAAAAATTTAGGGTCAAGCTAGACAGAACAGCAAGCCATTGGCATCATGCAAGGCAATAGTTTTGGTATATTTTTTTCCCCTCTTATCAAAACATTATAACTGAAATCCCACTAGAAAAGTGAACATGGACATTTCAAAATCAGTTTATTTTCACCATTGCGCCCACTGAGGAAAAATGCATGATTTGTTTTTAACCATGCAGTGGTTGAGGTTGAGTTTCACCAATGCTTGCAAGTTCATTTGGACTACCTACCCCTGTGAGAAAGATCAAACTCAGCGGGCTTCTGTCATTGGTTAAGGTGATAGATCCACAGTGTGATGTGTTTGTGATTTTTTTTCTTTTGCAATGAGAAAAGCAATTGCACCTTTTAATACGTGTGCTCTGGTCTGCTTCCAACAAATCCCAGGTGATCTCAGGTCACATGGACACTCATTTGGAGCTTAGAAAGACTAGGTATTATTCACTGAATGGTTTGTATCAAAATTCAAGCTCAGAGCACATGCCAAAATATCAACTCTAACCCAAGTTACAGTTGCCAGTTCAAGCCCAGGCAGGTCCCTTTCTGGTTGTGCACATATCACTAACGGTAGGTTCAGGGGATGAGACGCCATTTAAAAGACACACCTGTTCCTCTCAAGAGGCTGGTCTAAGGAATAGCTGCCCTTTTCTACATGCTGTGCCATGGTGGTGCTGTCCAGTGGTACAGCATTGCCATGGAAACCGCCTTAACATGCACAGCCGTCACCTGCTACATGTGCAAACATGCCCTAGGTGTCCTCCAGCTATCTGAAGGGAAGTTCTTGATCTTTGATTCCTTTTGGCAGAGCAAGCTTTCAGTGGTTTATGGCACAGTGAAATATATTCTCCAATGCTATGTAATTTTGGACTAACAAGAAGTCTTTTTAAGGCACATGTCTCAGGGTGAATATTAAAAAAAAAAAACAACGTGTAATCCGAGTCCAAGGACCTGAACATTTAGTTTCTGTCTTCAAGTAATGAGTTGTTCTCGAGTTCCCTGTCTTTGGTGTCCGTGGGCACCATCCCATTCTCCATCTCAGCATGAGGCTGGATACAGTCCGTCAGCATGGCTGTGCTGGAGTTGTCCGAATTACACATCTTTTCTGTCTCCTCCTCTTTCTTCTCCTCATCCAGGGAGTAATTTCGGAAGGTCTTATAGATCTTCTGAACGTCCTCAGGCAAGGTCTTTTTGAGGTCCTTGTTTTTCCTCTTGGTGAGTTTGGACGTGGACCCAAACTTGTTAATGATGTTATCCTCAGAAGCACCCTGCCCGTGCTTGTTCAGCTGCTCAGACCCCTTAAGTCGCAGATTGTTGGGCCGGTTGTTGATGCTCTCCTGGGATGAGGCCTTGAAGCGGCCTGTGTCCAGCGCAGCAAACACAGAGCGTTTCTCCGGGGAAAGCATGTCCAGCGAATGCGCCCTCTGGTCCAGGCCGAGTCGCCGGCGCTCCATGCTGCGGATGGTGGCCGCCCGCTGCAACTTATCATGGATCTCCACACTGAGCCGCCGCCGTGTCTCCCGAAACTCGGCAGTCACGTTGGCCTTCCACTCGGCTGCATGGGCCTTGATTTCACCGACCTGGCCAAAAGACAGAAGAGCAACAGCACACTGAGAAATTCCTCTCTGCCTCAGGCCTCCCAGCACCCACAGCCCTTGGGTGTCCCCATGGGGAGATTAGCTCGGGGAAGGACAGAGAGATGGTGTAGCACATGCGCAAGGAGGGGACGAAAAGCTACCTCTGCCCTAGTACTTCCTGTGCCCAAATACCTGCCTAAAATTGGCCAGGGAAAAATGTGGTTCAGGAGGCACTTAAGTGGGAGAATCCAAAGGAGGCCTGAGACTTGGGGATGGTGACTAAAGGAGAGACAGGTGGCACTCTTAAGGAGAGATGAAGATTTAGAGTTGGACAGGCCTGGGTTCTAGTTATGTTCCCACTATTCACTTGATTGTATGGCCTCATTCCTCCAATCATATCTAGCTCATGGAGTCTTTAGCACTGTGTGAGATATGTAAATGCACCCAGCTCAATCCTGGCACAAAGTAGACACTCAGCTGACATTCTGCTCTTCTCTGCCTTCTTCTTAGCTCTAGCTGCATAGGGTGACCAACCTGTCCCAGTTTGCCTGGAACTATCTAGTTTTTGTTTTGTTTTCTTAACTAAATTTAACCTACTACCAACTCTCTTATGAACTATTGATTAATCTCTATAGCTATTCTGTTTTTGTACTCTACAATTTGAAATTCTTAAGTAGCAGTTAAGACTCTCTAACTCCAGGTCTGATTCTTCTACTCCCAAGTGAAGAAATCATGAGCTTCCTTCTGCAGTGTTGGTGTGGGTTCAACTGAGCAGCTCCAGATTAGCAGTCAATGGAGACTCTAATGAAGAAGGAGGCTTTGAAGCCATTTCGCAAGGCTGGCATTGCCTCCCTAAGAATCATCAGTTCCTGTGAGGTTCTGGTTCCAACATACATCAGTCATGTTAACATAGCTATGTCATGTGTCACTACTTCTAAAATGTCTGGAGTCTTAATCACATGAGTTTCTAAGGATCACAGGAGTCGAACAACTTGTTTGGCATGACTGGGATCAATTGGTTCTTTAGAGTGAAGCTGATCAGCTCTTTCCTTTTGATCTCTTTGATGGATGAGGTAGCAGAAGCTGATGCAGCTCCTGGTTCATCCTCTGTAGGTGACAGCTCAATCTCAATTCCTAATTCTTCTTCAGGTATCTGTGGTATTTCTGCAATCTAAGTGGAATGATGATGTTTTATAGACGGCACAGCCTCCCAGTGGCCTTTGCCTGTCATCTCAGACCCCAATGGTGCGCTTATATCATCATAATACAAAGGAGTTAGAAGCTAATAGAAGGGCACCTTTTCTAATTTACAACACACTAAAGTGAAACAAAAATTGTATATTTCATTTTGATGTGATTTGCTCATTGACCAGCGCCATTAATCTGTTCAGCAGAACATCAGTTTCAATTGATGGGGAACTGTCTTCCTTTTTTGCAGTGTTCTTAGTTCACCAGTTGTGCTTTACAGCTTTTTGACATTATTATTGTCATCTTTCAAAGAAATGGTTTCTTTATCGGAGGTTTTGAAAGAACAATGGTAATTTTAGCTTCAGGAAGGTGTGAATCCAGCCTTTGTGTAATCATATGCCTGGAATGGTGTGTCCATACCTTCGTTTTCTTGTGACAGCAACTTTCAGTAGAGTTGGGAATATGGTTGCACTGAGGTGATCTCGAGGTAAGTAAGTAGCTTGCCATGATTCTTCTTCAAATCATCTGTAGTATCCTTGAACCCAGCTAGCTCATCTCCAAATCTAGTCAGCAATGAGGCATGGCTGATTCCATATTTTACGGACTCATCAATAATTAAGCAGTTGATCATTTCAGAGGGCTCTGACATCATCTTATCTTGTGTGACATAAATGCTGTCATAATCACTCCCAGTTCACCAATTCTGATAATTGTCTGATAATGACAACATCAAGTTTTGCCGTAGAAAGCCAGGTCACTTCAGGTGAGAAGTCAAGGGCCGGATCGACTTCCACTTTGGAAGGACGACTTCCTGGCACAGCTATGACACACAGTGCCTTAAATCTCCTAGTCACTTGTACACTGGGATTTTTCAAAGGCCTTTTTGCAAAACAAAACATGCGTGTCCATGCAGCCTTGATTAGCCACACTCTATCTTCTCTCACTAGAATTCTTTCCTCTACCCCAAGTGAAACTCAAGGGATAAAACCTCCTCCAGCAGCTTCAAACTCTTGTTTGACTAACATCATCTCCTCGAGATCATGGCATTGAGAGGCAACTGCTAGTAGAATACTCATATGTGCAGGTTTTGCAGCCATTAGCACAGTGCAATTGATCATGTTCTTAGTCAGTTTATGATCATGTCAATCTATTCATATAGCTCCATGATGGAGGCCAGGCCTGTCCAGTTTTAACACAAAAAGTTCCATGCCCTAGGAACACACTCCATCCTGGACAAACTGGAATAGTTGGCCACCCTCTATCTGGACCATGCTGTGGCCATCTGCTATCAGATTCACCCTACTTAACAAGACCTTCTAGGGCACCTGGTATTTTCCTGGTCGGCATGTAGGGTGGGGACATGTTCTGACAAAATTCACAGAACACAGTTTTTAAGAGTGAAATTTTGGCCTGAGGATCCGCACCGAATTTCTGGGCTCTTGGTCAACAGGGTAGATAGTCCATGTTCCATGCTTCCTTAACAGATGACTAACTCCAATTTTTACATTTAGGAAAATTAATTTACATATGTTGTTCCTTTCTCTTTTGTTATAGCTAATTTTCTGCAGGTCATTTGAGCAACCTGGGAAACAACTGAAAATCTCGCTGACAGTGCTTCTAGACAAGCCAGGAAAGTTAACACTTGGGTCCAGCAATGATATGGATGTTTTTCCACTCAGCAACTTTCCCCGGCACCTTTGTTATGGAATGGAGTAAATGGTTGCCCTCAAAAAAGCTGTCCTTCTCTTTGTTTTCTTTATCTCCCCTCCTTTCTCTACTTCCTTTATTCTTTTCCTCTTGCCCCTCTCTTTTCTAACTGCTTTTCCTCTTT